GGCGTTACAGGTAGAATCATCAAGTGGATACCAAAATCTATTGAAAAACCATTGGGAATCAGCTTCCACAGCAAACCCATCTTGATTGCGATGCCAACTAAAGTAAGCATGACTTCGATTCTTAATGTCAAAAATGGCATGTCCAAAACTTGCTTCACGAAACGCCGAGTAATTTAGCTGTGGCTCTGTCATGCTACAAACAAACACAATGCAGCAACACAAAAAAATGTTTAATCTTGTCTCTTTTTTTGTTATTTTTTTTGCTTTTTAATTTGTCCCGTGTGTTAATTTAGTTCATGTACTTTTAGCTGTACGAATTTAACTGAATTAAAATAACATGCATTATAAAATTAAACAAGCAATGTTGTTCATCTAAAAACTAATGGACTTTTCAAATTCGATGTCATCCACTCAGTCAATTTTCAAAGGGCATTATTAATTGAACTAAAGTGACTTAATGTGAAATTCAAAAGCAAAATTGATGCAAATTAGGGCTAAAGGACCAAATTGACACGAGGCAAACTACAAGGATTAAGGATGTAATTTGCCCCTTTTTTATTTTCATTTAAAAAAAAACACAGAAATTTATTTGTAGAACTGTTTCCAAAAACTAATTACAAAAAAAAAAAAAAAATCCAGAAGCTACCCATTTTTTAAAGAAATATCAGAAGTTGTTTTCGAATTTCGGAAACTATTCTTATACAAAAATGAAAATGATAGTTTTTTTTCAAAAAAAATCATTTTTTTTTTAATTCCAAAAACACCAAACCAAACCAAACCAAACCAAGCCTTAAGTCCCATCAAATGGGGTCGGCTACATAAATCATTCTTCTCCATGCGACCCTATCAAAAGGCCATTTCATTAGTGTAACAAGTCCGCGAGGGACCCCGCTACAGTTCGGACTCGATTGTTGTCACGATTCTTAATCTTGAACCAAAGAGTCCAAATCCGGCAAATCGTTTTGAGAAACAGATTTTTTTTGAAAAGAAGTGCCAAACATGGACTGCTTTGCCAGATACAGAATGTTGTAAGCAACGTTAGATATGCGTTCCTGTTACATATGTATGCATTAGTTGTCAAGTAAAACTAGGTAAGTAGGAAATTTTGGTTTTGTGGGTGAGAGGTGTGGTTAGAGGTAGTTTGGGAAGATGGCGGGTACTCCAATGGCCTGAGATCATCGGAGGTGGAGAGGAGGAGGTCAAAGCAAGCTTGGAGAGGGAGAGGCTGGTAGTAATGGACCTTGAACACTAATGTAGAATGTGAGAAGGAATGTTTGAATGTGAAACTTAGTGTGTTAGAATTATGAAGCTATGTTGTTGTTGTTTTGCTACATATATGATATGTTATATAGGCCACAAGAGTATTGGAGCCCAAGCAAACTGTTGGACTGGTGGCTCGTTCTCCTTAACTCTACCAGAAGTGATATGAGCCCTTCTGTCATATGTGGCTTGACAGCAGGCGAAGAACAACGTTTCATGGCAGGCCGAAAGTAACGTATCGTAGTTGCCTTTGCTACTCGCAAGTAGGCTAAAATACGGATTTCAACGATTTTTTCCAACTCAAACAATCCAACCTTCACCCACGGGCAATCAAACAGTTTATCACATAAGCGTTTAGCCGCATGGCAAGCATACTGTCATGGCAACATTCACACGTATACGAGATGCTAAAGCGAAAATACTTACATCGTACTCCGTGCCAAAACAATCAAACTAGTTAGCAAACATGCATGTCCTAGTTCATGTCAATTGTCTAATGCAACACATACAGGATGCAGTTAGAGTAGGCTCGGCTAGTCTAATCATGGCATGTGAAAATGCGATCAATTTGATGCACGTATTCAATTTGGAATTGAAATACAAATGCAGTTAACGTGATGTACCGAGCCTAATGCGTGTAATACAAATGCATGAATGCACGCATGCATAGCATAAGGTATGCTAAATTAAGTGTGCCCTAATACTAACCATCAAAGCAGGTAAGTAAAAGGGAAGAAAGAAGTGGGGGTTGGAAGACATACACTTCACTCACATACACTTATTACAGATTTGCCCTCACTCGGAGGGACCGAATAAATATTACAAATTAATTAACTACGCAAGCTAATTAAATATTACAAATTGCCTAATCAACTAAGCAAATTAATTAATCTAGGAAAAGCAGTAAACCGCCTCGGGAGGAGAGCTCGATGCAATGCATGCTCGGTCCTGCTCGGAAACGCACCGCCATGCATAGGCTGCCTCTGTTTTCCTTCCTTCACTTTTATAAAAATAACTTCAAACTCTATTTCATAAAAATAGTTTTAAATATTTGAATATTTTTGTTATGTATTTAGTTATGATTTGAGTGTAGAGTTGTGAAAGTAGTATGGAGTTTCAAGTTATGAGTTTTAAAAATAATTTCTTAATTGAATTTTGTTTTATGTGTTTGGTTACGATTTGAGTGTAGAGTTGTTTTTAAATTTTAAATATTAACATTTTAAATTATTTAAATTTTTTGAATATTTAAATTATTTAAATTTTTACGATTTAAATTTTTTGAATATTTATTTTAATTTTTTACTTATTAAATTTTTCAGATTATTTAAATTATTTAAATATTTATGATTAAATTTTTTGAATATTTATTTTGAAAAAAAATTATTTCCTTTGTAGTATTTTCAATTAAAAAATTGATTAATGTTATTTTTCGTAAATAATAAAATTTTTTAATTGAATTTTAAAAAGAGTTTGGTTATAAGTGTTGATCAGAATTTTCAATAGTATGAAAGTAGTGTGTTTTGTTATGAATTATAACAATTTGAATTAAGTTTTGAAAACTCTTTCCAAAACTCAGAACCAAACAAATTTTCTTACTTCACATGTCAAGTCAAACTTTCAAAACTCAATTCCACACTTAATTCACAACTCAATTCAACACTCTATTCAAAAACCATAACTAAACAAATTTTTTACACTCAAATCATAATTCCACAACTCACAAACTCAAAATATAACTCATACTCTCAAATCATATTTACAAAACTCTACCAAACGCAACCCTTATTTTTTGCTAACTTTGAGCATTAATTAAGGTGGGACCCAAGCGTTATTTTTAACGTTTCTAATTAGGTTTATGTTTAATGTCGCGTAGTGAATGAAACCGTGTATTTGATTGCTCAAAACTATTTTCGGATGAATGAGAATTTAACGCGCATTTTCGGGTTCGTAGAATTAGCTTTTGGTGGGTTTCCTATACATTTGAGTAATGTGCTTGTCCCACATTGGAAAGGCTTATGGATTTGTGTGGGTTTATATACCTTAGCTTGGGATACTTGGGATGGGCCCCAAGGGGTACCTAAGTTTGTAGAAGGGGTTTGTAAAAGGGTGAAGTTATGGGTGAAGTGGGCTAGACCCATTAGACCCAAAATAAAAACCACACGCGCCATCCGTCCTTCTGGGCGAGTTGGGGTTGGCTTGGGCGCGGATGCATGGTGTGAGGTTTGGTTGGGCTTGTCTGGTCCAATACTTATCTTTTTGGGCCAAAAACTTTTGTATTTTATTTTTTATTTTGGTTTCAAAATTCAAAATAAATTAGTCCATAATTTTTTCTTTACCCAAAACAAGTCCCGAACAGGTTCAAAGGGTTCAAAATAGGTTCATACTTGTTCATTTCAAATTGAATCTGTTTGGACATATTCAAATCTGTCTGGTGCCTTTCTAATCTGTCCGAACAGGTTTTATACCTGTTCAAAAAAGCCACAAATTCTCCTATTTAAGGCATGCCTTCCAGCAATTCAGAACATACATTTTTCCCTTAGAATTTTGTCTCTCTTCTCCCCTTTCCGTCTTCTTATTTTCTACATTTATTCTGTATTTAATTTAGGTAAATAAAGAGAGAGTTTAAGCAAAGTTTGAACCTGTTCATTTCAAATTGAATTTGTTTGGACAGATTCAAATCTGTTTGGTGCCTTTCCAATCTGGCCGAACAGGTTTCATACCTGTTCGGAAAAGCCACAAATTCTCCTATTTAAGGCATGCCTTCCAGCAATTTAGAACATACATTTTCCTCTCAGATTTTCATATTTCTTCTTTCATTTCCATATTTCTATTTTTTGCATTTATTCTGCAGTTAATTTAGGAAAATAAAGAGAGAGTTTTAGCAAAGTTTTGGTTTGCTAGACTTGATTTTATAGTGCTGTAAAATCAAGTGTTAGTCGTTACATTCTAGGAAGTAGACGCTGGTATAACTCGAAGCATCGAAGCGAGGGCAAAATCTACTTTAAGGAGATTGTATCCAACACAAATCTTGACGTTTAAAAATTTCTGTAAGCATTTAATTTGAGAAATAATTTATATAATTATTTTCTGAATTATTTTATTTTATTATTTATTTAATTTATACATTTAATTTACATGCACACACCCCTCCGTGGGTTTAACAATATCCTCTGATGATCCCGAGCAGTAGTGTCTGGATCTTGCTCCCAACCCAAGCATCCAAGTAGGTGAATGGGCCAGGTCCCACCTCAGTGTTCAGGAGAGCCAGGGGCTCGCTTCCAAGCGACCATGTAAGAGAATGGGCTGCAGGCCTATCTCAATGTTTAAGAGAGGGACCCGCTTCCAAGCGACCAAGTAGGAGAATGAGTCACGGACCTATCTCAATGTTTGGGAGAGCCAGTGTTTATCAATCCAAGTCCAAGTGAATCGGGGGCTGATTATATTGTTGTTTGGTCTTGGAGCGAGGTATGAAGGACCATGGGCCCTGCAGGGCCATGGTGTTGCCTGTTGCAGGGCTTTTCATATTTAGATATATTTGGGCTTATATGTATGCTCCCGCTTAGGTTAAGCATATAGTCTTGGTTTTGCATGGTGCCTTGGCACACGGCGCCTGTAGGGCTCGCCATGTATCAAACATATAACATGCCCACGTGGTGCCTTATTGGTCTGCCACGTGGGTGGGGTTTTGGTGATATGGCACTTGTAAGGCTTGCTGCGTATTGGGCTTGATACAAGTACCTACAATAATGTCCCCCCCGGAATGTGTGGTAACAGGTAAGCCCGAAAGCTATTCCCGTCCCTGCTAGGAGAGATGCCAACCATCTATTCTTTCATCATCACGAAATGACGCTTCGCCGTTAGCCCATAATGGCTTAGAAGCCAACCTCGCTTCATAAAACAACTTGCAAACCCAAGCGGAATGACAAACATCCCTCCATTAGCTCCCAGCCAAATACCTCCACCACAAGTCAGATCCACTACCGGAGCTCCCACCTCCGTGGCTTCAACTGGCTCTCTAGCTCTTCCGCTAGATCAGACCCCTTCCCAGCCATGAACACTGGATGTAGTAAAAGAGCACATACATAGCCTACTTCAGACGAACAAAGGTCACATCCCTGTCTCTTTAGAATTGGACCTCCATCTCCCTTACCTTATTCATATTGCAAGTCTTCCATATCCGGTAGGATACATAGTACCCAAGTTTATCCATTTCGACGGATGAAAAGGGAATGCCAGAGAGCATGTTTCACGCTTTCTTGATGCTCTTGGAGCTCACCGAGAAGACCGAAACCTCCGTGTGAGAGAAAATTCTCCAAATCCCTCACAGATCGAGCATTTTCGTAGTATGCCAACCTCACCGCTGGCTCTATCTCTTCATGGGAGGACTTGGCAAAAAAATTTTATATCAAGTTCTTCTACGTTGAAGAAAGGTTAACTGCCCTTCATCTTATGAGGAAGACATAACGACTTGGGGAGGACATTCTAGTTTATATCCGCCATTTCAGGGAAAAAGCAGTAGACATTCAAGACCCGATGAAAGAACACCAACTAGTGTCATTGTACATCAAAGGGGGTGCTCACGACTTATAAACTCTAGTTGGTCAACTGCCACTTCCCTGACTTTTTCGCTCTATGTGTCGCGGCCCGAAACATAAGTGAAATTGTAAGATCAGGGGGACGAATGACAGCATCATAACCCTCCTCATGGCGACCGGCGGCACCTCAACCTTCCTTATGGAGGCCTAACCGACGTAACCACGCTATATATGCAGTCGAAGGCTCCTATAAAGGAAGAGGAAACCCGCAGACGAAAAAAAGAAAGTTTGATCAAGTTCCTCTGTCACTACCTATCTCGGTGGACGAGGCACAAGCACTCCTCAATGCCTAGGTAGAAGGTGGAAAGGTTCACCTCCCTGAGCCAAGGCGTTATAGCGATCCCAGGTTTACTCTTGTTGTATAGTGATCCGGACATGTGTCTGTGGATGTTGGTAGTTGTTTATTATCTTGTTTACATCCTTTCTTACGTTGTATTTGAGTTATAGGATGTGTTGAGCGGGTTTGTTACAGGTTGGTTGAGTTTAGAAACCAAAACTAGTTGCCCAGATTTTTGGCCTGTACGCTCGAGCGGAGGTGTTGGCGCTCGAGCGTAGATTACATCCATCCAGTATCTTGTTGTGCAGTGTTGTGAGCTCGAGCGTAGGGATTGGGAGCTCGAGCGGAGGCCTGGTTCTGCAAAAGTGCTGGGCGAGTGCAATACCCAAAAGCACCCAACCATTT